GAAGGAGCCCTTGCTCAGGTGAGGACCCCCCGGCCCCCTTCCCTAACGCCCAGCCCCCTTGGAGGGATGGGGCTGAGCTCCCCGCACCCCCGCGCCTTGCGCGGGAGGAAAGATGCTCCCACGGGAGATGGGTTCCCAGGTCCACAGCCACGCGTGGTGAGCCCCTCTTCACCCCCGTGCCGGCACCGTCCGGGCTGCAGAGCCCTTTCCCGCAGGTTGGCCGGCCCGGGGCGTCAAGCCGAGCCCAGTTTCCCCCCAAAACAGTTTGCAGAGCTGTTGTAGCTGCTGCTCTCCGTGGGGGGTTTGCCAGTTGGCCATCCCCTGCGGGAGCAGGACCAGACTCCGAAGGGATTTTCCCCCGGCGCTATCAACCTGCTTTCAGTTCTCTTTCTGCCTGGGTTGCCTTGCCACAGGGGCCGGGTTCTTTCTGACACCTCACGGCGCAGTGCACGCCGGACTGCTGCGTGCCGTGGGGTTTTTTTATGGTCAAGTTTTAGCAAGCGAACCAAAAGCGGCGTCTCTCTGGTGTTTCCCGTGCGCCTTTGGCCGTAGGAACCATTCAGCTTTTGTCTTGCCATGGTGGGGTTTCAAACGAGGCGCCGAACAAAAAGGGGGTTCCCGCATTACTAGGTGGGGACTTGGGTCCCATCGTTGGGCAGGTCTGTGCTGCGCAGAGCTCTGCCCCTGGGCTGGGGATGCTGGAACGGAGACACCCCGGCACTGCTGGAGCTGGTTTTATGTGAAAGCACCATGCGTCTTGATTTCTAAGAGCGGGTTTTTCTCTCCTGCTGTCGGTCTTATCTGTCTTGTGCACAGAGCTGTGAGGTTGGGGGGTGAATTTTCATACAAAAAGGTGAAGCCCCGAGTTGTGGAGAAGAGCTTTTGAGCAGCTCAAGCACGTAAGCAGTTTTTGCATGTTGCAAAATATCTGTGCGCAGGGTTTGCGGCACCTCTCCCTCCTTCCCCAGCTGCCAGACGGGGTCCTGGCCATCGCCAGAGCCCGCGGTGGGCACCTCAGCCCCGGGACAGGGCAGGGACTGTGCCCTCCCTCTGTCATCCGTGGGAGAGAGGCATTTCAAGAAGGAGGGGGGGATGCACCCAGGGTGGCCTACATAGATATGGGGGAATAGCAGAGCCGGCAACAGGGCTTGAAATGTCCTGATTTCGTGCTGTTAAAGCGGTTGCCTAAATAATAGCCAGATAATCCTGAGCATGGGGCCTCCAGCCCAGGAAATTGGCATTAACCTAATGAGAGCCGAGCGCACGGCCGGCGAGGCTCCTTCCTGCCGCCTTGCTGGCCGGGGTGGCTGTCCCTCGCCCGGCACCTTTCTTTAGTAACATGCCTTCCGCCGGCAATCCAATTAATGCTGGCTATAAGAAGGAAAGCCCATATAAATGCTGGGCATTCGAAAGGCATCGGCTCTTGCACAAGAGTGCCAGTGTAATTAAGCTAACAGCCTAATCGCTGGCTTGGCCCTCTTCTTTGGGAGGCTTTGGGGTTTTATTTCAAAGCGGGGATCTTGCAAGAGCATGCTTGCTGTACTTTTATTTTTATCACAGTGTTGTTTAAAATGAATGACTTGCTTGAGATTTCTCTTAGCTGCGTTTTAGTTTTTGGGAGCTGGTGTTGGTACCGAAATGTTTTTATGACTTTTCACCTTGTTTTCCCCAAGCGGAGTGGTTGCGGCCTCAAAAATCCCACGTGTCAAAGAACAAAGCAGTGAGGAGCAGGTAATACGTGTATAATTAGGTGCCTATATCACCTGAGCATATACAAGGCTGGCTGTAACCCGTGACGAGGCCGGTGAGAGCAGCCAGCGCTGTGCGTGGAGATGGGGATGGAGCACAGAGGTAGGCACAGTGCTAATGCAGGGCTGGGAAAAGAAACCTCGGCCAAAGCCAGGGAGCCAGGCTGCTGCAGCAAAGCATCCGGGCTGCCTTGGCAGTCCCTCGATGCGGGAAGGTGGAATCTGTCTCGAATGGTGTCATCAGGATGCAAATAAACTGTGAATTTGGGCTCTGAATCCCAAAATGAGTTTAATCTGGACTGAAAGTGCCCCTGGAGCAGAAATCTGTTGATGAAGCATTAGTGCTCACCATTTTCTGGATAAAGCCCAGAGTGTGAAATAGTCCGAGTCCCCTCTGGTCCCACGGAGACTCCTGTAACCTGCAAAGCAGGCTCCTGTTCATGTGCTCCTTTTTCTCCTCCCATTTCTTCATTTTAAACATTTCTTGGAAGTCCAGCACGCTCTGGGGGTGCTCGCTGTTGGCAGAGCTCTGTGCGCATGCTCCCTGCAAGCTCTCCCTGCTTGCTGGCATTTGCTACGTCCTGGGCACTGCCCGTGTCCCTGACAGGCTGCTGGATGCTCCGTGCCATGGTTTGGAAATAGAGGTGCATTGGGAAACGTCTTGCAAGCTGTGAGAGAGTGGCTTATAAAAGCTAAGGGGTGCTAGTGTTATTGCCTAATACCGGTTTTAAAGTAAGTTGGATGTTAAGGGCTACTGGTTAAGTCAGTGGGAAGCCCATTGAAGGCAGGAGGGTGGGACTGAACTCATGCTGGTAGCACGGCTGGCTCCTGAGAGATCCTCTCCAGGTGGGGATCCTGCCTACTCCACCTTTGAAAAACGGTTTGGGCAAACCCATGCTGGCTCCAGTGTAGGAATGGCTGAGTTATGCCATCCACACCCTCCAAGTTATGTTTGTTTGCTCATCTTTAAGGAGAGATTAGAGATTATCTTTTCCCTTATTACCTGTTGCTCAGGTTTTTGGTTTGTTGAAAGCCTAATTAACCTTCCAAGATGATTTTTTTTCTATTTTATCTGTGTGCTGGAGCTCCTCTTAGAATCTTTTTTCATGGCTTGACGTCATGGCAAAAGTGCCCACAGTATTATCTGAGGGTTTGCTGGATGGGTTCCTTGTGAAAGGAGTGGGGTTTGGGTAGCAAATAGAATAAAGAGGGGGATGTTCTAACAAGAAGTGAGCAGGGATTGCCCATAGGATGGCTGATGAGACTACTGGGTAAGGTCAAAAATATTTCTCCATTTGTGGTGTTCTGCTCGAGTGTCTGGACATCTTGATTAGAAACACTATGGAAATACTCTGCTAAAAGTTCTCCCGGCAAAATTAAATAACCCTATTTAAAAAAATGCATGTTCCAGTCGCAACATAAAGCCATAAAACACAGAGCTGCCACCAGTGCAGAGAAAAGCTCCTTGCCTCGGTGGGGACAGCCTTCCCAGAAGATGAAGCTCTGCTTTGCTGACTGCTAAGCAAATAAATCCCAGAGTTCACAAGCAGGCTGAGGATGTTTCCACCCCCAAATAAAGATGGGGCTAAGTGTCCTTTCTGTGCCTTGGCGCAGGTCCTTGCGCAGCTTGGTGCGTTGCTGTACCTCTTGGGTAGGAGCCGCTGGGGTGGGGGGTACCTGTGGGGATTGCCTGCTTGATTTGGTAAGTTTTGGGCTGCTGGGGAGAAAATAGAGTTACAAGGTCACACAGAAATGTGATTATGGATGTGGGACCTCTGGAGAGCATCCAGTCCAACTCCTGCTCGAGCAGGGTCAGCTGGAGCAGGTTGCCCAGGACCGTGTCCAGTCGGGTGTTGAGTGTCTCCAGGGGTGGAGACTGCACAATGTCTCTGGGCAACCTGTACCAGTGTTCACTCACCCTTACAATGATGAAACAGAATTTCCGATATTTCAATGTGTGTCCTATCGTGGGCCATCACTGAGAAGGGTCTGGCTCCGTCTCCTTCGCTCCCTCCCATCAGGTACTCGTACACGTGGATAAGATCCCCTTGAGCCATCTCTTCCCGGGGCTAACCAGTCCCAGCTCCCTCAGTGGAGGTGGCATGTGTTTTGTCCAAACTAAAACCATGCCCAACGGCACTGCTTTTGAGGGGAAGATGGGTAGAAGCTGCTTCTTTGGCCAAGAGGCAAGGGAGAGGCTTTGCACACAGCCGTCCTCTTGCCTGCTGCTCAAGGCATACCCCTCTGCACACAAAGTCTCCTTGGGGACAGATCATGCTGCTGGGATCTTGGCACGGCTGCCCGGTTAGCTGAGCAGAGAGAAAATACCCTCTGGAGACGCCGGGATTTTGGAGTCTTAGTTAATTAGAACTGTCCCTATGTTAAGCTCGGGAAGGCTGAGAGGGCTTGCACAGGGTTTGAGGTGGGAAGGCGTGATGGGGAGCGGGGCAGGGTGCTGCGGGAGCCACAGGGAGATGCCGCCTTTCATCCTCACAAATGGATGCTCACAGTTCCTTCATCCTAGCTGCTCAAATAATATCTAGTGTCTTTAGCAAATCTGTGTGTCTGATGTCTTTCATGACAGCACTGCCTGGTTTGAACTGTGACTTGCGTGGTCGGGATGTTTGCTAAAGTAAAAAACTCTGGCAGTCTTTCCATTCCCCCCCCTCCTCCTCTTCCTCCCCTCTCCCAGGCAGGACATGGGGCTGCCAGAGGGGATGCCACAGAAGCAGGCACTTTACCCTGGGAAGGTAAAAGGAGGGAGCGTGACGCTGCGGTAGCTAACGCTGCCTCTCCTCTCCCCTCTCTGCAGTAACAACAACCCCTACGCCTCCTTCGGAGCCACGCTGGCGCGGGACGAGGAGCAGAACCTGTGGAGCACCCCGCACGACGTGACCCACACGGAGGCGGACGACGACCGGGTACTGTACAACATGATTGTGGTCAGGAACCAGCTGGACAAGGACTCGGAGGTGAGGTGGTGCCATTCCTCGCGCTCGGTTTCACCGCAGACTGAGGCTCGGTGCTTTCACCGGATGCTTTGGCAGCACCTTTACTTAAGCACCCATTAAGCCACTATAAAGTCCCCCAGCGTGGCTCACATAGGCGTTGGGTCCTCCTATCTGTTCCATCGCTCTCCAGATTTTATCCGATATCTGGTGTGGATGCATCTGTAGCCATCTCGTCCCTGGGAAGCCAGGGGACTTCTCCGGCAGCTGAGCCAGGAGAGCCGCCCTGAGCTGGGATGCACGATGCCCTAAGAGCACCTCTACCACCACTCCTACCCCCTGCAAACATGTACTGGTAGCGCTGGGATCCCCAGCTCAATTTCCTAACTTCGCAGGCTGCTTTTTTTTGTCCGATACTCCCCTGGTTTGGCCTTTTCATGATCAGACCGGCGTTAGCCCTGCCTGCAGTGGCGTTTGCCCGGCAACGGCAGCGCCTGGAGCTGAGCTGCCGCTCCAGTGACGCATCAAGTTAAATACTCCTCTAATGGGTTGTACGGCAATTATCGAGAAGCAGAGAACTGGCACAGCTCTTAGCGCAGACGGGAAAAATCATCGCTGTTACATAAAGGCTGTTTTGCAGCCCTGATTTCCTTTGCTAAAGCATTTCTGCGCAAAGGAGATTTCAGTGCCCTGATTAGGAGCAGGCTGTAGCAAATAGTTACGCATTTTCCCCTCTCTGATTTTAAGACTTGAAAACGTTTGCAGGAAAGCCTGAAGGCTTCACATTTAATTTCAACATGATCCCACTTCATTCAAGAGACCGTAGGACTGTAACTCTTCCTCCGGTGATAGTTCCCTTAAACCACAAGCTAGCTCCACTTTTATGAGAAGCCTTAAACTCCAGAGGTACAGCTGAGATGGAAATTGCAACGCTTAAAACTTAAAATGAGATAATGCAATCCTTGTATACAATTGGTGAGAATCCCCAATTTAATGGTGTTTTTTTTCTGGTGGGGATTGAATTAATCGTGGTGTTTACAATGTATAGGTTTGTAACAACGTTTTCATGGCTGCACGTAACCTTTACAGCTATTGCAGCTATAACTGAAGGTTATCTTCTTTCCTCCTCCGCTGTTTTCCCTATCTTGTGATCGCTTGTCTTAGAGAAGACAGGGAGCTTCATCCAGCCCAAACTGGCTGAAGGAAACGAGGACAACTGGGCTCTTCAGAGCTGGGTGTACTTCAGGGCAGCTCCTCATTTCAGCCTGCGCCCAGTCGAGCGGCTTTTTAATTTGATTTAGGGCTCACTATGAGGCAGGCCTCCTAAAAGCTATTATTATTTATAAAACGGTATCATAAGTGGCTGGGCTGCTAAAAAGGTAGCTCCTCGGGCAAAGGAGCGCTGCGTGTCAGCCTTGCTCAGGTTGCAGAGGAGAGCATCGGTTATGGGTGAGCAAGAGAGCGCTCCTGCGCCTGCCTGTCCTAAACCCAAGGTGCCTGCCTGTCCTAAATCCAACGCTTTCTCTCTGCCATCAGCATGTCCGTAGGGTTTTTAGCAGGTCTGAGCAGTCTTCGTGCCTGCCAGTGAAAAAGGAAAGTACAAAGAGCATGGGGCTAACCTCCACTAAGATCACATACCCTGTTTTTTTATGCAGTGCAATTAATAAAAAAGCCTGAGGAGTACAACATCAAGCCGACTTTGAAGAAAGCCAACGCACAATACGCTCGATTTGAATTATGGCACAGTGCCGTTTGCAGCTAGTGATTGCCAGCCTCTCTGCTGCCTCTCTTTTACAGCTGGGGAAACTGAGGCACGACGTATAAGCCCGGCAAGCTTCTGCAGTTTCCAGTTGCAGCTCCTTCTGGGTGGCAGGACAGGGAGGGACTTGGCCAGCAAAGCCAACATTCCTGCATTCGGCCCCAGGTGCCGAAATCTCTCCTTATTCCAGCGAGTGTTTTAAAACTAGGCCAGATTGCGTCGCCCTCCCTTCCTAATGAGACTTCAGTCCTGAGAGAGGGAGAGGAAAAAAAAGTCTCATTGCAAAACAACGCTGGGCTGCAAAAGCCATAATCTGCTTTGGGAGCTGCTCTGCTCCCGAAGTCCCTGGGGAGAGCGTGCGGGTGCTGCAGGATGGGACAGAGGAACGGTTTCTTGTTTATGCAGCGCACAAGCATTACAAACCCACAGGTCCTTTTTTTCCTCTTGGTTAAAATTGGACTGAAAGGAGAACTACTCCCTGTATTTCTGCTCCTTCATTTAACAAAAAAATTGCGGTGTGCTGTGCATTTGCTGTATGCTTTGCAATTCCCCACCTTTATTTTCATAATTTCTTAGCATAGGACTTTAGAAAGATCCCAAAGAGCAGGTCCCTGTACATCATGTGTGCTTTATCTGTATGGCACCACCTTGGTATCAAACCAGTATCGTATTTTTCTTAATCTGGCTAACCCACTTCTGCTTTCCTGGGAATTTTCTTTTTCTTTTTTTTTTTTTTTTAAATGATTGTTCACATAGTGACAAGGTGCTGTGAACTAGGACAGGAGCAGCAGTGGGCCAGGATGCAGTGGTGACAACGGCGCAGTGCTGGAGGTCAGCGGGCATGGTCCACGATGGCTCTCTCCTGGCCTGGGTGCCTCTGTGCCGTGGATCGCTGTAAATCAATAAACCAAACTGTGCCTGCGAAGGGCCAGATGCTCTGACACCGAGTGCACCCTGTAGCTTAATCAATTTTCTGCATGGTAGATCATTCATGGTGTGGCTCCCAGCAGCTCACGGAGTGGGTCCTCCCTTGGGGTCAGATCCTTGCCCCAGCCACGGGGCTGGACCCACAGCTGATCCACGTGGAGCCATTTCTTTTCCCTGCCCCCTCCTGATGGCCCTGCTCCAGGGAAATTTGGCAGCTCCAGCCCAAACTCGGTGTGACCTTGGCTTGCATAAGGATGGCAGGGCTGCTCCACCCTGCTCCTTACAGAATCAGGGCAGCAAGCTCTTCAAAGCAAGCACCGTGACGCCCTGGGTGCGCCCTGTTTCACACCCACTTGCTTGTCCTGCTTGATGCCGTGTACTCAGAGTGACAGCTCACGGGGCCGTTGGCCGTGGTGGAGGAGCACCCGGCGGCTGCCAAACCCACCGTGCAGTAGGTACATGAGGCAAGATTCGCTGGAGCTGCCTAAAATCGTAAGGACTGAGAAACTTGCAGCTTTGCATTTGTCTGCTCGAGGCCGATGTGCTTGGATGGACTTTCGGAAGCAAAACGCGGGCAGGGGAGGGTGTGCGCAGATAAAACTAGAAAAGCCATAGCTGAAGGGCTGGCTTCAGGAGGCTGGGAAAGCTGATGCAGCCTTTGGAGATCAAAGCTGTCATCAAAGCTTTTGAAAGCTGGGGTCAAAGTTTCAAATATGGAAAAAATTTTTTTTCCTCCCGCTGCCTTGCAGCATTGTCAAACCTGTTGTGGTGTAAAGTAAAATCCCAAATCTGGAGGTGAAATGAGGATCTCTAGGAAAACGGGATGTTATTTAAGATGCTGCATAGATATAGGCTAAGTCACCGGTCCAGCATGTACCCTGCTAGCGAGGAGAAAAGCATTTCATGGGGAAGGGGGACTACTGTGGCTCTAAAAAGCCTCCAATGTTAGAGCTGGGCTTATTGGCTTATGTGTGGTGTGGCAGGTGCTCTGTTCCACAAGGACGGGTTTGTGGTGGCCCTGGTGCCTCAGTGTCCTCTGATGGGGTGCATGGAGTTACCCAGCGCGGGCAGAGAGCCTGAGCTGTTGCACCAATGCTGGCCTCAGAGAAGGAGCCAGGTTTAGGACAGCTGTGCATGGGTCTGTGAACAGAAACTAAAGGTAGGTTTTTTGCATTATGACCGAAGAAAAAACAGTTCTTACGGCGTGTTGTAAATGCAGTGTTTCCTCCTTCTTTTGGCTTATTCCCTTGGGGAAGGTGGGATCATAAACCCCACTAGCAAAGGCAATTCCTCAGCCTGCATCTCTGCCGGGGGCTTGGCTAGCAGAGCTGCGCTGGCATGATCCTCCTGGCAAGCCCATTAACGATCCGACAAGACCTTTTTTCTGCTTCCTCCTGCTCTTTTACAGGATTCTTCTTTTTTAAGCGCGTCACAGAGAAGGTCACTATTGCAACACACTGTTGCTGGGGCATTGAGAGGCGATGGGATTTGCCCAGGGTTGGGGATGCTGGTTGGGGAGCCCAGAACTGACCCACTTAATACATATGAAAAACTATTTATGAACTCTTTCATGCCCCTCTTAAAACTGAATCCAGTTTAAGCTTATTCTAAGCTGAGACGTCGGTTGATGGCTCACTGTATGAGCGTGGCTCTAGATTTTGTATTTGCTCAACTCTTCCCAGTGGGGCCAGTTGCAGAACCAGAGTAGAAGCATCCCTGGATGTGGGGTGGTAGTTGCCTGGACTGGTATTTTGCAGTCTTTCCCTGATAACTCTCTTTAGACCTCATTTCCAAAATAACTCTTGAACAGAACGGTGACACCAGTTGCTTTCAAGGGAGAAAGAAGGCTTTGCTAGAGGATTGCTTTGGCAACATGAGGAAAGCTACTGACTAATTAGGAAATTCCCATATGAGCAGGGATGGAAGGTTGGACACTGCTTGCCGGTTCTCTTGGCACACTTTTTCCCAGAGCTCTCAGTTATGTACCAACCTGGCTTATATTTCATGCCCAGCATTTCCTCACTTCCATTTGGCATTTGCAGATTTAGACACTAGAGAGTTTGGGGAAGTTTTCCAGGTAAATATTTGAAGGGCTGAGCACTGAGGAGAGAGGCGGCAGGGTTTCCCTGCTCCTCCCAGGATATTCTTGAGTCGTGCACAAAGGGTTTTCTCAATCCCCCGCTGGTATATATTGTGCCCTGCTATGTAGGTTTAAAAGGGCAAAATTGGTTGCAAAAAACAAGGCCAGGAACTGCAGCCTGCTTTGGTTTCCTGTGGTTAATTCAGATTTTGGAAAAAAAGGTATTTTTCTTAAAGGATTAATTCTGACTGCATTGCTGAGATGTCCCATACCTGTAGAAACATCACGGGGTTTGGTGGAGACCAGTCTCCCGCTGATCTTTCCTGGTACTGTGTGCAAGAAGCTTCCTCGCCACTCCAGAAGTTATATCTAACTAGGCAAGAGGCAGGACAGGGAATGGAGGTGCAGAAGAAATGCAAAACCAAGTTTTGGGAGAGAGCTGCTTGTCCCATACCTGCATACAGACTCGGACAGCTCTCTGGAAGGGACTCTGGGTGGGAGCCAGCCCGGGATGCGGCATGGAGGGCAGCCTGCTCCAGCATGGAGGGCAGCCTGCTCCAGCATGGAGGGCAGC